ACCCACAGCTTCTCACCCGTCATGGCTACTGGGGAGCAGGGAAGGGGCTGGGAGTGGGACACATCCCCATCCCTGTCCCAGTCCCGCTGGCAGAGCACGGTAGTGATTCACTGCCCCGGCTTTTTCCATGAGACAAGAGTGAAAACTTGCTGCTGTTTTTTTTCTCTGGTCCTCCCCCCACCGATGGCTGCAGTGGCCCCAAAGGCATCAGTCCCCTTGAGGCGCATGGTCAAGCCTCAGTGTGATGGATCCAGGTCCCTGAGGACTCACCAGCCTTTCCTGCATCCCCCTGGGATGGGAGGTGGCAAATTCCCAGCTGCCCCACGGTGATGCCCCAGCTCAGAGGTCCCACTCCAGATGTCCCCTGACATGTGCCTGGGTGCTGTCCCCAAGCATGTCTGTGTCCCCCCAACCCCAGGGTGTTCACTGCACTGGTTGGGAATCAGGACCCAGGGATGATGCTGCCCCCATCACCTGGGGACTCACAGCCATGGGATCACCCCATGGCTGTGCCTTGGCACACCGTGATCTTGGCTTGGGTGCACAGTCGCAGTGTGGCAGGATGTCACCCCTCTCCCCACAGCGGCAGCTCCACACTACACATCCCAAACCCCACCATCACCCATGTCCCCTCCCCTCCTGCCTTGGAGCAACTATGATCTGGACCCTCACTGCCAACAGGGCTGGGGACACCAGGGACACCACAGCCCAAGGACTCAGCACGATGCGAGAGTGGGCTCGAGGGCTGAGCATCCATGTGCTGCCCTGGGCAGAGCTGTCTTGGGACCATGCAGCTCTTCAAGGGAATCAGGTATTAAAGAGGGGCCATTCAGCAGCAGCCCCACACACGCCAGAGCAGGGCAGAGGCACTCACGGGATGGGGTTCACGTGGGATGGGGGGATCCTCACTCACCGTCCTGTGGAGGAGACACCCGGAGCCTGCTGCGCTTGGGTTTGGGGTTACTGGATCCAGCCAAACCCTCTTCCAGGGAGATCCTGCAGATGAAGGCAAAGGGGTGAAATCCCAGCGGAGAGGAGCTGTCTCTGAGATGGGCGGCGAGGGCCGAGAGGTGCTGGATGCAGAGGTGCGGGTGTTAACGGGGCTCAGGGTTGGCATCGCCAACCTGGCATCACGCAGATGCCCCAGGAGCTGCCTGGGCCCCGCTTCCTGCGCTTGGCCACATCCGTGCTCATGGAGGGGAAGGCGGGAGGCGGAGGAGGAGCACAGGCGGCTGCTCCTTATCAGCGTTCCCAGCCCATCGCTCCCCCGGTTCTTCGGGCAGGGGGTGGGGGTGCTGGG